AGATCTAATTACCTACAATGTCACCATTTTTGAGTCTGGAAACCAATTCAGTAAGTTTGTTATGAGTACGTCAATTTTAACGAAACAACTATTTTTGTTGTTTCGTTAAAATTGACGTCCTCTTGTGATAACCACAGAGGAATCAGCCTGACGAACATGGTTTCTAAGATTCTAGGTTCCATAATTCTTCGACACCTGAGCGGAGCTCGGGAACAGCAAGCTCAAGAAAACCAGGCAGGCATTCTTTAGACGCGGCCGCGGGTGTATCCACCGAATATTCACATTGCACCAATAGGTTCTGGAACACAGGCACGCTTACCGACGCCCGACACTAGCTGTATTCCTCGACGTGAAGGTGGTGGCATTCGACTCCGCTGATTGAGAAGTCTTATGGTAATATCTCTCACTGAAAGGTGTCCCGAGTAAGTACATCACCTTATTGAAGGCTCTCTAATGGACCACTCGTTGGCGTGTTAGAGCCTATGATGAGATGTCTAAGGAGCTATGCTCATCGAGTGGTGTCCGTCAAGACTGCCCACTGTCTCAATTCTTATTCAATTTTATCATAGATACTCTTATGGAGGTCTCCTTCTCGTCACCAGGTTACACAGAGGTTGACCTAGTCACAGGAGAAGGTTCGTTAGACCTGGAATATGCAGATGACATAGTCGTGTTAGGTGAAGACGCTGACGAGATGCAGAGTCTTCTGAACACTTTGAGTGGGAATTTGAGAATGTTTGGAATATGGTTCTCACCACCTAAATGCAAATTGTTGCTCCAGGATTGGTCTTCAACAATGCCCCATTGCGGCTAACAATAGAGTGTAGTGATTGAGTGTGTCTACCACTTCACTTACCTGGGAAGTGGGGTCAGCCCTGGTGGCTAACTCAGTGGCCGATGAAATCTCTGCACGGATACAAAGGGCTCGGCTGACTTTGGTCAACTTACGCCATGTATGGCGCTGCCGTGATATCTGATTGTGTATTAAGGGTCGCATGTACTGCACATCATTCCAGTCTGTTTTACTGTATGGCTGTGAAACATGTCCATTGAAGGTGGAAGGCATGAGAGGGCTTGAAGTGTTTGACTACCGTTTCCTTCGTAGTATAGGCCGTATTCCATGGTGTCATCACGTGAGTAGTGCAGAAGTTAGGTGTAGAGTTTTATGGAGAAGAGGTGATTCGGTTGACGAGGTTATGAACCTTGATCGACTGAGACGGTTGGGACACGTATTACGTATGCCTAGTCGCCTATTGCCTCGTCACACAATGTTGGCCGAAGTAGGTCCAGGCTGGAAAAAGGCCTGAGGTGGCCAAACTGAAACATGGCATGAAGCTATGAAGTTGTTGAGTGTTGGTTTGAGCCATGTGGGGCGAAGCAGACTAGGTGGTTGGGGTCGGCGGGACAAGAGGAAGCAGTGGTTGGAGACTCTGGGTGATATGGTTGAGTACCGATGTCAGTGGCGCAGATGTATACATACATTACCCTCATCTTAACATTAGACCGAATCTCACCATTTTGTCATTCTTCGTTTCTCTCTTTTCGTACTTTATATATTTTTTGACTGAATTTTTTTATCTTCATCTTTCAGTTGACTGCCTTTTTACTTGATGTACTGATATGAAGTGTGGCAACTCGGACCATTACGTCGTAATGCCTGGTCCTGGTCCTGTGTTGATCTGAATGATGATGACGAACAAACATCGAATAGTTATAAAGGCTACATAACCAAACGTGACTGTTTCCTAGACAGACTGTTTGAAAAATGGCACGTGAAGCATGAATAGCAGGTACGGAGTGGTTTGAATATGACGACAACCCTTACATTCACTTCGTAATTCATCAAATCTGAAGTCTACTCTACATAGACCACATCAGCTTAAGGTTTCTTTTCACTCTACTCCATCTTCAGTGAGGTGCAAATATAACATCTTACACAGTCACCAAAGATGTACAGAGCATGACTGTTGCGAAACACAATATCAATTATATAGAATTTGATGTCCACTATAGGTCTAAACTTTCGAGATTAGCAGCAGAACCAACTTATGGCATCTAGAATATCACCTGATTTGTTTCGAACAGAAGTGGGAGAAAAATAGTTCCAGATAGTCAAACCAAGACACAGCATCGATCTATGCAGTTAACGATGGTTGGCTAGAACTACGTACAGAACTGTAATTCCCTGAGAATATTCCTGTCAAAAGTGTGTATTATTGGCCAAGAAGAACCAAAGTAAGGGACGTCATCCGTTACAGTGATGTAGTTGTATACAGTACACCATGTCATGTGTATACTAGATATTTCGACCATTTCCAATATATATCCTCTACTTTTGTCGAGTTACAACAATTCAGTTTTCTTGAATCTCCTTTTCCTCTTTGTATCCATCATTCAGCAGCAACATTCAATCCAGTGACGATACAGATTGCCACACATCAAACCACAGGATCACGAAAAAAAGTAAGATAAAAAAGACAAATAGCGAAAGTCCAATCAAAAGTCGTCTGAAGTCGTTTAAGAAGAGGGGAATGTGAAGCAAATAACCACATTTGATATACCAGTTAGGATGAAAAGAAGTTGTGGATGTATCTGAACAACTGATGTCAATCCTGAGCCATGTCACCTAAAGCCTCCTTCCTACCATCGATTTCGGTTGCCAAGTGAACTCCGATTGGGAAGTCTACATTGTCTTACACGACTAACATCAACAGAGAATTGATGACTGATGCCGCTTTCTAGTCTTGCTATCCGTAACCTTTCTCAGCACAGACCTACTTCGGCTAAGTTTGTTTCAGTTTAGACGGTGACTAAGTGTGTGTGCAACATTTCTCGGCCACTGGATTCAATGAAGCCCCACAATCTCATCGGCTGACTTACCTTTGATTCTTAATATTCTACACCTGGCCTCCACATTACTAACGTGTTGGTTTCATAACACGTGGTCGACTCTACAAAAGTGTCAACGTTCACGTATCCGGAACCTCTTTATGTCTTCCACTGTTAATTACTATGCTTAATAGTCGTTTGTTAAGGCATAGCGAACTGCCAAGCGATGCATTTCTAGCCTAACTGTATATGACATCAATTAGCGAGAGTCACGTGTGTTTCTTATATCCATACCGAGATTTTGTCGGTCAGTGAACTATCAGGACTGATTCGAATTCCTAAGTAAATGCAATGGTCAGCACACCTGACGAGTATTGTCAGACTATGCATAGGCACAGATTAATCCTGAGCAGTTTTCATATCATTGATTAGAAATGCTTCTGAAAAATGTTCAAATTGCTACTCAAATTATCCAAGATAGGTGTGGTTCAGTATTTTGAAAGTTTACACACTAATTGATATTCCCTCGGTTGCCTATCGGTGATCAAATTGTTGCAAAGCATTTGGTTATTCGAAAGGTAGACAAATTTAAAACATACATTTCTGAAGCGTCGCAACTTGCACTGATGCACTTCTGTGTAAGGCTTTGCGTTGATTTGTATGTCTGTTGGTTTGCCTAAAGTTGACTATGCAGAGAATAAGTGGCCAAGCGAAAACATTTTTGAGCAGCGATAACTGATTCCTTTTTTGTCTGTTTGCTAACATAATTATTTGAGTGGTCAAAAAGAAATTTTCTGCAATAACAAAAAGTCAAGACCTTTGTTAAATTATGTGACTGCGAAGCAACTATCAAAGCTGAAAGATGTAAGGAGGCTTCAGATACGTGAACGCTGACACCTTTGTAGAGTCGACCACGTGTTATGAAACCAACACGTTAGTAATGTGGAGGCCAGGTGTAGAATATTAAGAATCAAAGGTAAGTCAGCCGATGAGATTGTGGGGCTTCATTGAATCCAGTGGCCGAGAAATGTTGCACACACACTTAGTCACCGTCTAAACTGAAACAAACTTAGCCGAAGTAGGTCTGTGCTGAGAAAGGTTACGGATAGCAAGACTAGAAAGCGGCATCAGTCATCAATTCTCTGTTGATGTTAGTCGTGTAAGACAATGTAGACTTCCCAATCGGAGTTCACTTGGCAACCGAAATCGATGGTAGGAAGGAGGCTTTAGGTGACATGGCTCAGGATTGACATCAGTTGTTCAGATACATCCACAACTTCTTTTCATCCTAACTGGTATATCAAATGTGGTTATTTGCTTCACATTCCCCTCTTCTTAAACGACTTCGGACAACTTTTGATTGCATTTTCATTGTTTCTATGATATGAAGAATGGCAATTTGTAACGTTACGCAGCAGTGCCAGGTTCCACGTTGATATTGTTTAGATGACTGGCCCTAACATACTAGCACCTGAAACAACAGTCATTCCAGTAATTATAGTTCATTTCACATAGAATGCGGCTAGCACAACCAAATAGTAGCTGTCAATCGAGATGAAAAGAACCTGTACATTGAGTTGAAAGTCAGTCAGGTTAACGGATAACACTGAGAGAAGCGGAGGTCATACCTTGAAGTAAGTTGTGCAACAATTGCGTATTTGTGCGTGTCATGTTAGAAAAACTATCCTGCTTGATAGAATGAAGATAACATAGAATTGTATCGCATATGTTTACGGCTGATTATTAAACAGTGCAGGACAAGTGAAAGCATCAGGAGATCATTCAGCGAAGTCACTGTTGTCACAATCTGCGTAATTATACCAAATAAGTACATCCCTACACATCGACGTTAACATAGGCCTAATATTTTCGCACAATTTTCATCATGAGTGAAATTAAGATGCTATGTAGAGATTCAACAAAACTGAACAGCTTTTTCAAATAAAAGTGGGAGAAATATGCTTAAATATTGGTGAAATAAACTCAGGTCCTTTGGGCCTATTGTTGAGAAGCGAAACAAAACCAAGGGATAGGCTTTTAATGTACGGAGAAATGTAAAGGGAGTTATTTAGTGTCAGAAACATTCATGTGAAATATGAGGCTAAATAAACCACAATTACCGCAATACGTGAGCATACACTAAGGATACGGCAAATATGAAACGAACTTACATGAGCTACTGGGTACTGTCCATTGGCAGTGCGAAGTTTGTCGTAGTTGGCGATGGAAGCCTCTCCAGCATCTGGTTTCAATTCGGGACCTGCATCGCCAGGCTTATGTTTTGCAGCGATATCCAAAGCGCACGCGCGGCCAAACACAACTATGTCAAGCAGTGAATTCGCACCCAATCTATTGGCGCCATGAACCGATGCACAAGCAGCTTCACCTGCAGCATATAATCCAGGAACAGTTTTATCCGTCTTAGCAATAGGATCATACGTTAACACCTAAAAAACAATGTGCACTGACATAAATCCGAATTCCTATTTTTGGAAACGAATGGCCTACTTAAGAAATAACAATAAATGAAATTTTGGAAAACACCCCTTCCAAGTTTCAGAGATACTCACCCTTTCTTTCAAAGTAAGAATGAATGGTTACGGGGCAATAAAAGGCTTTCATGTCACATACCCTTCAACGTAATCAGAAGCCTATCTTAATCTGCCGATCTGTAGTGTATTGAATCCTGAGTGATAAACTCTACACTAAACTGCGGAGTGTTTGTCATTTCCATTCAATCAGTAATTCTACATTTGGCACGTGAGAAGCTACTGGAAGTTCACATAACTTCATCAAAGTGCCACTTCCAACATTTTAACAAACGGTTGGTTCATACAACGTTTACGACTGGAGCATTGAATCAGCTCTTCTACTGGTTACCGTTAACAATGTATCGATCAAAATCTTTAGATACTTATCTAACATCACCTCTGACTGCACCCATCAATTCACATATGCTAGTAAAGGGAATAAATTGAAAGGGTGAAGTAATTGACGTCCACCGTGCTAGATGAACATATACTACAGGATGAGACTTAAGGAATAACTATCATAACCAATCGACTCAGGCAAGTTTTATGTACTACACTATAAGCCACAAGTGAAAGTTGATGATAATATTCGGTTGTCCAGTTCAAAGTTATGAAGTGATAGATGGACAAAACCAATTTAAAACCTTGCAAACAAGTGCACCGGTCCATGTTGTTACGCTTCAAAGTAACATACAAAGAACAAGTGGGTAAAAAAAACGTGACATGAAACAGAAAAAGGTGGATGAGAGAAGAGGAAATTTAAAAATCAAGCTTAGTCAAGACAATCAAGCCATAGAAAGCATCAAACAGTGAATACATCTGCGCTATTCTAAGTGATTTTGAGCCATGTCATCAAGGAACCTCAACCACCGATTCCTTTCGTTCCAAGGACCTCAACTAGGCAGCCTACATCTTCCCACACGACAGAGACCTGGAGTCATAGACTTCATCAACTGGTACCACGTCTTGATCTTGCCACCCTGAGCCCCCTTCCAAACTAATCTAACTTCCTCTAGCATGGCACGTCGAGGTAAGCGGTAGCTGAGTATGCGCAACATGTCCAAGCCACCTCAGACGATGAAAATTCACAATCTCATCAATCGACTTCCCTGGTACCTACGTCACTCCAATCACCAATTCCCTACCCCCATCCATGTAAACTTTAGGTGGCAAACTGTCAGATGATGGCAACACCGTCTCATTCATAAACACCTAGTGTCTCTGTTACTCTGCTCAGTCATTTCCTACGTCCTTCCTCAAAAAACATCTGGTGGTAAACATACAAGTCCCACTGCCTTGTATTGCTCAAGATTTAAACACCCTTTTCGCTTTCGAGGACAGTTGAAGGGTCACATCTACATTTCATCCAGGATGCTGGGCAACTAAATTTTTGCTGTTAGTTGGACTATGCTTCCTCATTACGACTACGTACAACAGGGCTGCAGTGGTGGAAGCAACCAACTTCTAGTACAGGTTTTCGGGGTTCAAATCTAGCACCGCATATGGTGTTTTCAACCACCTGCACTCATGCAGTACCTATCGCTCCAAGACTAGTGGGGAAACCTGTACGTAGCAGGTGTCTGAATCATCCATGAATGAATCCTAAGAGAAACTGTTTAGTGTTATTGCTTGTATTACACCGTCGTTAATTGGAACGAATTGATCAGTCTCTGTTGGCATATGGGCTCCTATGCGGATGCCTCGATATTGCCTGTCTTTTAACTATGTTTAGTAATTATGGGCAGTGGCTAGCAGTGGAATCCAGGATGCGCATTTCGTCCTATTTGGGACTCGTCTAGTTGTGAATTTGGACTACATTTGCAGGTGTATTGAAGCGTGTTCGTGCTGATTGCTAACACTACTTAAGATGACACTGAAATGCGAAGCAGTTGCACACATCAACCGCTTTATGAAGAAATGTATAAAGTTTTGTTCCGGTTGTCACTTCGAACGTGATTACAACTAATCAACAATTAAGTACGCAATAAAAAATGTAATAGTCTGTCCATGGTCAATTATAGGAATTTTATCACTAGTACGCCTGTACCTAAGCTATATAAAACCAAGCAACAATTGTGACTCATGTGCATGCTAGACATAAACGACAAGGAAATCAAAAGGTTTGTGAAATTAAATCAGTTTAGGTTACTGTTAGCCATTCGCTCTCAATCCGCGAAATGATTTGAAGTTGATGGTCGCTAGTCACTGAGTGACAACTGCCATACTTAATCTCTATATTTTCTCGTTCTTCCCTTCTACTTCTTTTGACAGATCTTTCTTCCTTTTTTCATCCCCCATTTTATTGCCTTGTTATCCGATGCGTTGATATGAAATGTAGCAACTTGGTTAGTTACGCAATAACACCTGGTCCTATATTGATTTTGATGATGATGACTATTGAGAAACCCCCACGTTGCTACATCACGCTCCCTTTGATTTGGCGTCTCCCCGACATGTTCAGTTTCATACTTATACTTAGTGAAAAGTCACTAATCAGTAAATGGATCTAAATTGACCAACTGAACCTTAAATTGTCATACACTAACACTAATTAGAACTGGCGGCTTACAGTGAAAAAATAGTGCGGAATACTTTACTTACCTGTCCTCTGTAATTCGTTGGAATTCCTCCCATGTTATAATGTACCGTTGGTAACACAGGAATAGGGTCCCTCGTAACATCGACACCCGCAAATATTTTTGCCGTTTCTGATATCCCAGGCAGTCGACTGTGCAGCTGTTCGGCCGGAAGATGAGAAAGTTGCAAAAATATGTGGTCTTTCAAAGGACCAACTCCACGTCCTTCCCGGATTTCAATTGTCATTGCTCTTGAAACTACATCACGAGAAGCTAGATCTTTAGCATTTGGTGCATATCTTTCCATGAATCGCTCTCCTTTGTTGTTTATGAGGTACCCACCTTCACCACGACACCCCTCGGTGATAAGACATCCGGCACCGTAAATCCCTCTTAAGTTAAAAAGAGTATTTTTCACCTACCTGTAGGATGAAACTGGACGAATTCCATGTCTTGATTGGGTAAACCAGCTCTTGTAACCATGGCGGTACCATCCCCCGTGCATGTATGTGCCGACGTACATGAAAAGTAAGTACGACCATACCCCCTATCATATGAGATAAAAATTAAGAACGTACCCTGTAGCAAGTATTGTATTCCTTGCACGGAAACGATGTAGAGTCCCATCTTCAAGGCAAACTGCAATAACACCTCGACACTCATTATTCTCCATCAGCAGGTCCAAAACAAAATACTCTATGAAATAACTGGCATCATAGCGTAGAGACCGCCCATATAATGTATGCAACAAAGAGTGTCCAGTGCGATCCGCCACAGCACAACATCGATGAGCCTGACCTCCACGTCCGTAGTCTATGCTTTGTCCGCCAAAGGCTCGTTGATATATTTTGCCATTCTCCAGACGACTGAAAGGGACCCCATAGTTCTCCAACTCAATGACGGCTTTTGGAGCCTCCTCGCACATATAATGAATAGCATCCTGATCACCTAACCAATCGGAACCTTTAACCGTGTCATACATGTGATAACGCCAATCATCAGGTTCCATGTTACCGAGAGCAGCGTTTATACCACCTTGTGCAGCGACAGTGTGAGATCTTGTCGGGAATAATTTCGTGATGATAGCAGTTTTGAATCCTTCATTCGCGAGGCCGAAGCCTGCTCGCAGGCCAGCACCACCTGCACCAACTACCACAGCATCAAACGAGTGGTCAATAATTGTGTATCCACTTGTGTAACTCAGGTGTCGACATGACGAAATCCTGGTTGAAATTATTGAATGGTGGAACAGTGAGATTTTACGAAGAGAACGTGACAACAAATTTAGATTCACCATATTAAAAAGTTACGTACTAAACAGTGACGGCGCTAAATCTTCGTGCTTGTTCCATATCCAATCCAATGTCCAATATCCGTTTAGCGAGTTTGTGTACACTAATTGGTTTCTTCTAGCTCTTTTCTCGGTTTTGCGGAACAGTCTCAATTCTATGGTGGATTCCCATCCAGCAGATCCAGCCACTAGTCTGTTATAGCTCTGGGATACAGAACAGGTTATGTGTTTCTTGGTTTGCCTGGGACTGTGGTGCAGCTGGGTCCTTCAGATGTCCAGTTACCAGACAGTTGTTCAGACTGGTCTTTAGAGAGTTAGGAGTAGTGGAGAGAAAACTGAGTGAGACAAATTTATATAGGTAAAAGACAAAGAACTATTACATTGAGGGAATGCACAATGTCTTCCAGTAATTTTTGCATCTTTTTCCAGTTCATAAAATCATAAATACGCAGTCTCAGTTTGGGGCTGTCAACAATGAAAAAGACGGAAGCTAATCAGATAATTGAAGACGATGGGGATAAAGTGGGAGCTATGGCCAAATATTTTTCTAAAGTCTCTAACCAGAAACCTCTAAGTGACGTAAATTCAACGTTGGATGCATTGAAGTTCATAAGAATAGACCCTGTAAACATGAACTGTGACGACACAGGTAGGATACTTAGTACTCCGTATACGGATAAACCAATGGCACCTGATGAATGGCACCCAAGGCTCCTCAGACAACTAGCACTACACACCTGGCCCATTGATTACCATATTCAGACTGTCAGTCAGTGGAGATATACTTACATATGGCTGGAAGGAGAACACATTCACACGCATTCAGGAAGCAGTTTCTGGACAAGACCCATCAAATTACATACCGATAAGTCTGTTTACTGATGTACTTAGTATCTTTAAAAAAAATCACGAAAGCCGTAGAAGGCAACGCAATAATGTCTCGTTTGTAACATGGCTTCCGTGGAAGCTTCTCTTTCTCGGTGAAACTTCTCGTAATCAGAGAAAGTCAAGCTAAGTCGGTAAAACACCCGTAGATGTCATTTTCATTGACTTTAGTAAGTGTCTTGACGAGATACCTCACTCTAAGCTGCCCATAAAACTGCAGAATTTCAGTCACCGATAATCTTCTTGCATGAATTAGAGTTCATTGCTGATAAGAGATGAAGAGTAAGGATAATTTTCAACTCCCCCCTTGGAAGTCTATAGAGAGTGGAGTGCCGCACGGTACAATCCTGGCCCCCCTGCTATTCCTCCTGTGTATATCTTAACTGCTGAATATCACAAAGTCTTTAATGCCTCTCCACGCTGATGATGTTAAAATCTGGTAGTAAATTAGAGATGATAGGTATGCACGTACACTTCAGACCGTTGCCTATCAAACGCAGGTAAAAAAGCGTCGGCACGCCCACGGAGCATACGAATGGCAACACCTACTATAATGGTAGGATTCCTCTTCCCTCAGTAGTGACTAACGACGATTTGAGGACCATGGCCCACTGTCGGTTGGTCGAATGCAGGTGTTTTAAGACACTTTATGCATTATGTAGAACTCTCACAGAAATAAGAAGTGTTACTTTCACCACCTTCAGCACACCCTTAGGTCTCATTAGAAAAGTGGTTCATAAGCAGCAAATCCTTGCCTGAAAGGTGGCTATGGCCACCTGAAAAGAGTTCACTTGGTGACTCTTGGCGGGGTTCCTTGGATGATTATGCCAGCTTACAAAGAACGACCTGAAAACTTAACCTCTTGTCTTCGAACGGGAGGTCTGACCATGCCGCACAGGATTTCATGGAACAACTAATCTGAACTACTCGATCTTTTCCTTGCAACTAGGTTGAAATGTCTGAGAGCACAGTAGGAGGATACAAAAGCAAAGGTCAAACCAAGTCTCCGTGGTACTGGTGTTCGTGCCGTCAACTGTCCGATTCTAAACAGGACTGGAGGAACACAAAGACTCATTGAAAAAGGATTAATGTCGACTAATAACCTTCAGTCCTCGAACTACAAATCTAAACTCTGAATCTAAATACTGAGGAGTTGTTAACGCTTCCATGTGATGGCCTCCAGTATTCAGAGTTATTTTCAGTTTGTTTTCAGTGAGAATTATAGAGGGGTGTCAAACTGCGTTAATCCCCGTTATAGTTGTCGTCACTACGACCCATGTTCACGTTTCTCCTTACTTAATTTTCCTTGCCATGGCTTTCACTGTGTGTGCTTTTTCTATTGAGTACTTATGAACATAAATTTCATGCTGTTATGCAGCGCAGAACTCCCATTTTCGATTATTATGTCGGGTAGGGCAGAATGTGCCGTTAGTTTGTGGTCATAACTTACGGAAGTCTCCCAGACTCTTCGTATGAAAGGCCGGCGTAGGTGTGTTGGATGCCTCGTTAAGAGGGCCCGGTATACGAAATATCATGAAGGATACTGTTGGTGTATTCGGTGTAACGGAAAAATGTTCTGAAAATCCCTCCCGATCACCCTATTTGATACCCTTGTTATCGATGATGTGCCACTGACCCTAGCCGGTGTAATGTTGTTTGTTGTTTGACTGTCTTCTTTGGCTTTGCAATCAGTATTTGCCTTTGTATGATTGAGACTAATCACGAATATTTCACTTTCCTATTATGTGACACTGGACTGTCAACAACGTGACGTTTTACTGCGCCCGACAATTCGTTTTGGTTTAACTTACGGTTGTGCTGCGATTTGACTGTTTGTCTTTTGGCTGTCTACCGGAAACGTTTATTTGTTGATTTGATTCCGGTAGACAGAGTTTTGATCCCTCTTGACGGGAATATTCTTATTGACCGTCAGGTACTTAACAACTGTATTTGCTTAACCAGTACAGTACGTATTTGCGCCTGAAAACGTTTGGATTGTATAGTTACCCAACGGCACTGTTGAGGTGTTTTTCTAATTTTGGTATAAATCATTGTCGCTTTGATAGTACCACAGATCTTGTTACGAATCTACTGCAAACCGTGTTTTCATATTTTGGTCCAGCCCTTGACTGTGCGTCACTCGAGGGAGTTCAGAAGCTATGTAATAGAAGGCAGAAACTGGTCAAATCCGCATTAGTTGGCATCGCCTGGTTATTTCCCTCGTTCAGGCCAAGATTATCGGATTTTGGCTGTTACATTCGGTAAGCCGGAAAAGTTGCCAGATGATGAGAATTTAACTATTAACCGACCAAATTCAGAGGTCGATTTGGAGGCTTTCACTTTAGCAGGAGGTCTGTTCCACAACTGAGAGAATTTGACGGTGAAGAAGTTTGCACGAAAGCAGGGTTTAAACAGTTTCACTGCTACGCTGTAAGCGTGGTTGCGCAGATCGTAACGACTGTTGCGTTCGAACCGAAGCTCACCACAGGCTTTTAAAGTGAATTTATGTAGCACGTTGAGGAGGAGTGTCAGGTTAATTTTGGGTTGTCTCATCCAGGGTGGTTCCAGACTTAGGGTTCTGCATCTGAAGCTGTATTCCCGCTCGGAATCGCATCCTAGTAATTTCGCCCTAAAATACCTTTGGACACCCTCTATTTTCGTTTGTCTTTTATGCAGATACCACTCAGTGTAAATGAACTGTATTCCAACCGTGGACGAGCGCAAGTTTTGTAGAGCAGTAACCTGACTTCTTTGAGGTGGAAGTTACGAACTATGCAACCCATTATGATCCTAGATTTACAAGTTTGTGATGCCACCTGTTCAGAAAATATGAGGTTCCTTGAATATCTTGGTTCAAAGTCACATATACTTTTGAGAACAGGTAGTTTCATAGACTGAAGATGTAGTTGAATGTCCGCCGATAGAACACCAAAACATATCCAGCCACGTTTGCTTATATTGGGCTGAAGTTTACAAGCAGCAGACCATGCGGATGATATATCAAGCTCCCTCTGTACTAGTGCTTGAAAGTGGGGTAAATCATCATGGGTGAATGTATATGCAACGCTCAGGTCATCAGCATACAATAATGGTTTGCCGTGTGTAAAGCAGCTGCAGATGTCACTGACGTATAAAGCAAAGGGACCTAATGCACTGCCTTGAGCTACACCAAAGGTGATTGGCCTGAGTTTTGAAGTGCGTGCGTCTACCTTTACCACATAAGTGCGACTACTGAGGAAAGACTTAATTCGTCCCGATAGTGGATAGTCAGTTCCCATAGTCATCAACTTACTCATTAACAGCAGGTGATCAACCGCAACAAATGCCTTTGAAATGTCTGGATAGAGTACAAGAACACATTGGAGGCGGTCGCGTATAGCGATTATGAAATTAAAAGAGTCAAGATGGCAAGTTATACAGGACCTCGATTTTGGGAACCCATGTTGACTCGATGCGACGATGTTGCCACTAAGCATGTGCTGAAGAACGCTTTCTTTAACAACTTTCTCCATAATTCTAGAAACTACAGGCGTAATATTTATTGGTTTGTAGTTACTGGCTGGTGTTTTTGAACCAGATTTATATCCGGGGAGAATAAATGATGTTTTCCATGCGTCAGGGTATGTGGAAGATTCCAAAAACAGAGAAGGTATTTTAAGTAATAATAATGGAATATCGGGGCCACCAAATTTAAAGAAATGTGATGATAGCCCGTCTGTGCCAGAGTTGCTGGAGCATTTTAGCGTCCTAATGGCCCGATGAATATTAGAACATGTGATGATTCCACAGTGGTTTTCGGATCTCCTTCTGGTGATGCCTAAACTCACCAGTCGCAGGGGAAGGAAGAGGACCAAACCAGTCAGTAGCTCAGCTCATAAAAGTTCTTGCATTCACCCAGTATTTTCGCCATTCGTTCGTTTCATCACCGCAAGTTCCGGGCCTTTGAGAGAGAGTGAAAAACAGAGGACCTAATTGCGTGCTACTGTTGGCCTAGGCCTCCTACCATTTCGTTCTATAGACTGCATATATAGTTCACTAAAACTGAGGTCTTTTTGAGGGCTCATAGCATTCCGCCCGAGCCATCCCCGGTGTGCTGACGTCACTAAGGTCCAACCCGTCGAAGTTGCTATGGGTTCGGTAACTCGGCTGGAGATGTTCCTGAAGG